AAGGAACTAAAGAAGTTGTTTAGAAAAAAGATGATGAACCCTATTAAAAGATGGGAGAAGGAGTTGAAAAAAACACTCGCTAAAGATGACATACAAATAGCCAGAAGGCATATGGCAAAATGCTCAACATCCCTCATGGTAAGGAAAAGGCAGTTCAAAACAACAATGAGATACCACCTAACCCCAGTCAGAATGGCTAAGATTAAAAAAAAAACAAAAAATGATGAGTGCTGGTGGGTGTGTGGTGAAAGGGGAACTCTCTTACACTGCTGGTGGGAATGTAAATTAGTCCAACCACTGTGAAGAACAATTTGGAGATTCCTCAAAAATCTACAAATAGAACTGCCATATGATCCAGCACTCCTATTCCTTGGCATCTACCCAAAGGACAGAAGAATTCCTCATTGGAAAAGTGCTTGCACATCGCTGTTTATTGTGGCACTTTTCACGATTGCTAAGACATGGAACCAACCCAAGTGCCCCCGTACAGCTGAATGGATTGAAAAACTATGGCACATATACTCTATGGAATACTATTCAGCCATTAAGAACAACAAAACCCTGGCTTTTGACAGAAAGTAGAAGAATATGGAAGATTTACTGCTGAGTGAAGCAAGCCAGGCTACGAAGGAGAGACACTGTATGTCCCCACTTAATATATACCGAGTGTCCGCACTCTATAACTGAAACTGACGGGCTAAAGGATGTACAAACACAAGAGGTGGATGTGAATGCCAGATGCGGTGTGTGTGGAGGAGTAGGGCCTGGGGAAGAACATTTGGAGGAGGGATATGAAGACAGCATTGTTGAGACAGGGAGGTAGTGTAACAACTATTTTGATCAACTGGACTGGGGAGAAATGTTCACATATTGAAATGATCACCCTGTAAGCTAAATAATGTGATTGAATGTATGAAAAAAAAAGTAAATAAAGAAAAAAAGAATATATAGAGAAGTCATTCTGGCTGCTATCTCTAAAGAGAGAGAAAGCAGTATGATGCAGGAGGGGAATGCAGGGAATTTCAAATTATCTGTCATATTGTTCTTGTTATAAAAATATGTGAAGCAAAAGAGAAAGAAGATTACCATGTGTTATTAATTGCAGCTCATGAGCATACTTTGTGTTTCTATTCTCTCTGTACTAAAAAGTATTTTTAAAAATAAAAATTAATGCATTGAGAACAACAAAAGCAAAGTATTTAGTGTCTCCCTAATAACACACTAATATGAATTTCTCTACCACTTTAGCCAAGTGGTTAAAATAGTAATAAAAACTAATATTTAAATAGTGCTATGGGTCAGAGAGTGATGAGTAATAGTGCAATGACAGCAAGGTCTTGGTTCACATCTAGAAAACTCCCCGAACACTCTGGGCATGCACATGCCCATGAACCAGGGCTGGCTAAAGATGGGCGTGGATAACTGTATGAGAATCCTAATGGGGGTTCCTATTTCTCTTGCTCATAGAAGAAATAAAAATAAATAAATAAAAAGTGCTAAGTTTTTGGTTATATAGCTTAATTTTGTTTCCCTTTCTTTCCCTTCTTTATCTATCCTTCACTTATTTTCCACTCAACTCTGAATTTCCCATCCCTTCTTTTACCCAAGTGTCCACATCAAGTACCCACATGGAGTCAGGCCACATCTCCTCCCAGAGCACAATCATGGATTTCCTTCCAAGGAAAGAAAAGAGATGGTGGAAAGATATGAACAAGTACAGTGTTAAGCTCCTGCTGGTCACTATGGGAGGGAAGTGGAGGTGTGGAAACAAATATCTGAAGAAGGATACCCACAAGGAAGTGAACACAGTGGCTCTGCCATGACAGGTGTTTGCTTTTCCAATGCAAATTATCATATTTCCAACTGGCAAACAGGAAAAGAAGTCAGAACATGGAGAGCCCTTCAGTCTATTTTTGCTGGGTAGTCAGGCCAGAGACCTGGGTAGAGAAGAAGGGTCATCAAATGGAAAGGGAGAGGCCCTAGATTTAGTGCTGCAGTGGCCTCAGGAGCATTTTTGGACAATTTCTGTTAAAACTTGGCCTGTGTTCACAAGCCTGTCACCTCCCTGTCTCCTGCTGAGAGCAACAGTGGCCTGGACTCCCTGGCCACCCATGCTGTCAAGCCCACTGCTCTATCAGCATAGGGAGTAGCTGAGCACAGGCTCTGGGGTCTGTGTGCTGCAGAACCTACCATGGCAGCCTCTAGCCATGCTTAGCTGCCTGTCCATGTAGCACGAGCTCTCTCTGGTACTAATTATGATCTGGTGCGAAATGGGTTAAAAAACACATGGTCAGCAAGTGGCTTGGTGCTTAAGGTACTAGAACCCACAGGGCTGATCAAGTTCCAGTTCCAGACCCCATAGTTTGAAAAAGAAAAAAAAAAAAATCACACCAGGCATGTGTGCCCAAAATTTCGAGAGAAGAATGGAATGGAAGAGATTGCAGTGTGGCCATTTCCTCTGGGGGGTGGGGGGAGTGGATTTCTCACTTTCCCTTTCTTTCTGTCTCTCTCCAGCAAGTACATGTACCCTATGACAAAACCAAAAAACAAACAAAAAAGTAATATGATTTACAAGTGGTCTGCTCCAGTCCCCTGACAGACTTGTAAAAGGCAAGCTATTACTAACACAT